AAAGAAAAAGGTTGAAACCCCATGAGTTTTTAGAATATTAACTGAATTATTTACAGAAAACAGATCTAATCGTTTTGTTATTTCTGGGGATGAAAAAAACAGGGGAAGAGAGAAAAGAAATTACCCGTTTAATTAACGAGTCGAATCTCAGACCCTCCACTTCCGCCATTTTTGTGAATTGTGAGGAAAAAAGGGATGCTGAGACAGAGAGAGCAGAACATGGGAATTGTTCGACATTTTTAATCAACCATGTTAGGCGCCCCACGGCCCCACTAAAGCGTAAAACCCACTACGTATTTTAACTCTATTTATTTTATGTTTGTACCTCACATTTCCATTGTTTAAAAATATAATAATAAATCCTTACACGCTTACCTCTTGAACCTCTGATTATTTTAAAATAAGATTTTTATATTAACATTAAAAGTCTGAATTAGGGTTTTCGCACATAAACTTTTATGTTTTCGAAAACTTTTGATAAGGGAATTGGGAATTCAATTAAAATTGAAAATGAAGAATGTGAAAGAAACCTTATATTGATTGCATCAAAATTGGTTGATTTAAAATCTACAGAATTCAGATTGCATCTCAATTTCAAGAAACTAATTACAAACTAGTACATAATATAAAACAAAATAAACAAGCCATCTAAACACACCAATCTAATATGAACAATGTGGCTCTGAACAATTAACTATAGGCCAGTTACAGTCAAGAAGGGATTAGAAGTCAGGTCCAAAGTCCCTAACTCAAATTATGTTGAGAAGTGTTCTTCAGCGATTACCCATCAAACGAATTGAAAGAAAGTTCAAACGACGCAAGATTTGAAAGGAGTTTGATATTTTTGGTCACAGTACCACTCACATTATTACTTCCAAGGGACAACTCTCTCAACAATGAGAAGTTTGTTATCCGATCAGATAGGACTCCCCCAATTCCACCATTATCTAAAACTCTGCAACTCAAACAGGAAAGGACATGACTTACCTCTTAAAGAGCAATCCTGAAGAATAAGCTCAATTACACGCCTAGTTGCTTTGCTACACTGAACTCCTCTCCGTTTGCAAAAATCCCTTTTCTCTTCTTCACTTCCCCAGGAGGAAAGCACACCATAGTCATCAACCAAACCTTGATTAAATGCAAGAAATACTTGTCTTTTCCTCTCTATGCACCTAACTTCATGATCTACAGCTGTTGAATTGAGTCCAACAGCCCTTCTAATCTGTAGTAAAATCACAATTAAAAAGACAAGCAGGGAGGTCCCTCTACCCAAAACCATCATTTTTTGAGTGAAAATAACAAAATCAAGATCAAGCAGAAAAAAAATGAAGACTGTCAAAGAAAAATTGTGGAAACTTAACCATTTGGTTCTGCTGTCTGAGTTTTGGAACCCTTCTACTCATATGAACAGCCACAACAGAACGCAATGAACAGATGTCAAAAGGGAACATAACAAATTAGAAGTAGTGAACCATAAATTAGACCAGAACTGGTCATCAATTAGACCTTGTTCAAAGTTGAGGAGGGCTTTGTCTTTCACTCTCTATAACAGTCTTTTTCTACATAATTTTTCCATTTGCTAGCATCACTCTCATGTCATTTTGATCGTGTAGCAAGTGGAGCAGTGCAAGCATTGTAAGGAAAAGGAACGTTGAGGGAAGTGGAGAAATAAGAGAATACAATGTAAAGGCATGAACTAAGTGAGGGAATTCATATAAGTGTGCAGGGTTCATTTCAGCACAACTAGTTTACAATCAGTTTTTCCC